ATTATGTTAAGTGAAATAAGCCAGTCACGAAGGACTATCACCATATGAAGTCATTTATGAGATGACTCGTAAAGTAGATTCATGACTGCCAAGGGCTTAGGGGAGGGAAAGTTAGGGAGTTAAGTAGTTAATGGTTACTGAGCTTTACCTCTGCAAGGTGAGGAGTCCTACAGACAGAGCCTGGAGGTGGGAGCACAGCAATGCACGAACGTGCTGAGGGCTACAGAACTGTGTATTTTTAAATGGTTAAAACAGAAAGTTCATAGTTGCAGTAATCTGCTGTTACATATTTTCTCAATAGTTTGGTGTTTTTGAGACTGGGCATGATGGCACGCGCCTGTAATCCCAGCTCTTGTGAGGCTGTAAACAGGCAGATCACTATGGTTCCAGTAGCCATACCCTGTAGACTCTTCCCTAATATAAAAAAAAAAAAAGTTTGGTGTTTTCCAGTTATCTTTCTGGTAATGATTTACATTTTAGTTTCACTGTGGCTGGAGAACATGCCTTGTATGACCTAAATCCTTTTGAATTCATTGATAGCTGAAAGCCAAAAAGATTCTCAGTGAGATAAGACCTCACACTCATTAGGACAGCTATAATAAGGCAAGTGTTAGCAAAAAACTAACAGATCTGAAAAAACCTGGAATTGTACACATTGCTTTGGAGAATGTAAAATGGCACAGCTGCTTTGGGGAAGTTTGACAGTGGAGAAGTTAAACATAGTCATGATACAGATAAGCAGTCTACTGGAAGCTATATAAAATCAAAAGAACAGCAAACACTGTCTATAGAGAAACACCTACCTAAGTGTAGATGAACATCTACCTTATTCATAATGGCCAAACACTGGAAATAACCAAAATGTATGAGCTGACAGATAATGCAGCATATCCATAAAGTGGATTATTCAGCCATAAAAAATAAAGCATGGATACAAGCTACAATATGGGTGAGGGCTGGCTAAATAGCTCAGGGGATTGAAGTGCCCACTTAGGCAGACACAGGAGCTGGGGGGTTTGATCCCCAGCCTACCATGTCCCCTGGCGTGTTGAGATGGTGATTGAGACTAGGTGTGGTGGCGCATGCCTGTAATTCCAGCACTTGGGAGGCTGAAAACAGGAGAATCACTACAAGTCCAACCTACATAATGAGACCCTGTAGACCCTGTACCAAATACACTAAAAAAAAAACCAAACTCGGGGTCGGGGGG